AATAAATAAGTTATGGAATCTCCCTCTACCCTAATCATTCATTCTTTTTATGAATATAAAGAAAAAATACCACCAACATCCTCAATCAGTAATGATCACTTATTTTATGCTAGATCCCAAAGATACAGAGAACTCTCAAACATTGCCTCTTTCCTCTTTCTAGTAATGTTGAGTCACCAGCACATGAGAAATTTAACCCAAAGATCTCACTTCTGGTCTAAGGTAGCAGAGTGTACCCTGGAAAACCAAACTTGTATTTTGAGAATTTTGTGTGCTAGAACAAAAAAAGATGATTAATCCACTGGAATAAATAATTTACCACATTTCCACTAGGTTAAACATTTTAGAAATAAGGCATGCCTAGCATGGAAAATTTACCAACATTAATTTCTAACTCATATTGTAGGCCTTATCCAGCGTTAAAACATACTATATTCTTAATAAATTAAACCAGAATTATTTTTAAACTTATTCTAGTCTAATTTTGTATATTTATTTTTTCTTATGTCATCTAAAGGGGGTTAGAATCATTATGCCCTATAATAGAAAGCATCTTGTCAAGTCTTATTTTCAGTCCCCAAAATTCATCAATTTGAGCTCAGGTTGGATACTAAATCTAATAGCTCTGAAATAACTATATAATTGTGAAAACACATAATTTTGTAGCCTTAAACAACTGCATAAATTTTATTTTGTTACAAACACCACAGATCTAAACTTATTGGGCTACTCAAGAAAGACACCAACTTAGAAGTTGATACCATCTGTTTTTCCCTAAGTAATTTCAAGAACCATCCTAAGCTTTCATGCTTTCATCTATTTTTCCAATGAGTATAATTAGCCAATGCCTGATGCTAATATTCCTTCTTGTACTTTTGTTGGAGAAACTTGGTGACAGACTTGTCTTCGAATTTCTATTCTCACAGAAGGAAATTCTTTTTAACCTGAGTACCTTTATCCAACAGCCCTGTGTGGAAAAAGTCCAAAGATAGCAGGTTTTTAAAGAATTCTGAATTTCCTTAATACTTTATAATGAATGCAGCTCTAATAGCTGAATATATGTTGATCACTTCTCATTACAACTATTTCAGCAGATGTGCCTCTTACTACTTCTGCAGAATCAACTTTTCTGAAGCCCCTTGCGATCAAGCCTCCTCCAGGTGGGATTAAAGACAAGACTATGCCTTCCTCTTCCAGCAGTGCTTTGGATTTGAATAATCCAAACAAGTATTGCAAGCTCTGTCCTGCTTCCTTTAATAGTCCATTAATGGCCCAGCAACATTATGTTGGGAAAAAACACAAAAGAAATGAAGCTAGGAAGAAGTTTGTAGACAAGATAAGAGAGAAACCTCTTCCAGCAAATTCAGATGCAAATGGTAAACAGTAAAAATATCCCAAAACTCTTTCATAGGAAGTTTATATTTTATAAAGTATACTGGCTTATGTATATATCATTTTGCTCTTATTGAGTAGGAAGTTGATAGTACTGATAGGATCATAGAATTTTAGATGAGTAAAGACTTCAGAGTCCATCTAGTTCTGTCAGTTTTCTAGAAAATGAGACTCAGAAAAGTTTAGATGACCTTTATTAATTATAGAATCATATATAGGTATTCCCATGGCTCCATGTTATATCATAGGTACATAAAGAAGTATTTTTAATTAGTGTCACATGATTATATTTTCAGTCACTAAGTATGGCTAAAGTGTCTCTGGGGTGTTAGGCTAGTCATTATTGGGAATACAAATGAGGATATACCATTTTCCCTGAAGGAGCAAGTGTATAAACTAGTTGGGTTAATAACACTTCATTGAAAGAGGCTACAGACATGAATTTCCGTGTACATATTTTTGGTAACTAGGGGAGTGAAGCATCATGGTTCAGAAAACCTTCATAGAGGAAGTATATGATTTAGATTGGTAGAAGTGGGAAAGAGAATTAACAAAGGAGATAGAGTGGCAAGAATTCAGGCACAGTAAAGATTCTGATCCTGACTGGAATAATCCACTTGCTTTTCTAACCATTTTTTTTTCATTTTTCCCCCACAGGCACCTTCTCACTACTAGTGTATTTTATTCCTTTTTCATATTCTCTCTTCCACCCACTTCTTTTCCTCCCCTCACTGTTATTTTTCAATTCTTTTCTTACTAGACCTTTCTGCTTCATGTGAAAATGCTCATTACTCCCACCTTGAAGCCCTATTCTTCATCATATTAACTCCTTATGCTCTAGTTCTTCTGTTTTTGTTTTTTGTTTTTCTGTTTTCTTTGGAGGCTCTTTTTTTTTAAATATAATTCATTGCCTAAATGTAGGTGTTCTTGTGGCTCCATTCTTGACCTTACTCTACAAACAGATCTTATCTGTTCCCCTGATTTCATCTCTTATCTGTATGCTTAATGACCTTTCTGTCAAGCTTTGGACTCATATATCCAACTGGCAACTACTGCTTTACCTGGTTACCTCATATCCATCTCACTCTACTCAGTCATTCTGAGTAGAAACCTATAGTTAAATGTGAATCCCACAATACTACCTTCTTCACTTTTTATAATGAAACAGCAAGCCATGACTATTTTGCCTGTTCCCTTATCTCCAGTCCTACTCTTCCCATACTAGGTCAGGCCCTCAACATCTTTCCTAGAGCTTTGCTACTCAAAGTGTGGCTTGTGGTCAGCATCATCAGCATCACTTGGGAGCTTGTTAGAAAAAAAAAAGAATCTCAGGTCTCACTGCAGACATACTGAATCAGAAATGGCATTTTGACAAGATCCCTACGTGATTTGTATTCACAGTAACTTTTGAGAAGCACTGTTCTAGAATATTGCCACAGCCTCCTAACTACTCTCCCTGCCATCGGTTTTGTCTCTGCATATCTACCCTCAATTTAACCACAAGAGTGTTTCACCTAGAGTGCACATCTTTCCATGTCATTCCCTACTTTAAAATCCTCAACTGTTTCTCATTTTTATGAGGATAAAAACCTAAGCTTCATAGTTCTTTACCATCTTGTCCCTGTCTCCCTGCCTATCTTTTCCAGGCTTATCCCCTGCTACTTCTTGTCATGATCTCGTATAGGTCAGAACCTGCAAACTGCTTATGGTTTCCAGAAACCATTACCCTATTTCTTGTCTCTGTGCCCTTGTTCATGCTGTCATTTTGCCTGGAACATCTCCATGTTCCTCTTCTTTAGCTAATTCCTAATCATTCTTTAATGTGCTACTTCTCAGGAAGCCTTTTCACTTCCTTCAAGACTTAACTTCTGTGCTTCCTTAGCCTGCATGTCTAATTTTCTCTCCATGTGTTTATATCTCCCACTAGAATGTAAGGTCTTTGAGGGAAGGTATTTTATGTAACTCATCTGTATTTCCAGTGCTAGAGAGAGAAACTGGCACAGAGTAGGCCTACCTCAGTAGAGATTAGTTTAATATAGAATCAGTGAACTATTAATCGTGATATAACCCTGTATTTGTACTATTTTAAATTTCCTAATTAATGTGATTCAGCATATCCCCAAAAGTTAGATAGAGGTCTGTGTTTTTATCTAGGATTTTAAAGAATGTTGATTTAGGCAAGTACAGAAATAAAAGTGGTAGAGCTTCTGAACATAGATGTTTGGAGAAATGACAAGACTTTTACTTGTTAAGATATTCATCCTATTGCTGGAGTGAGGATATCTGAAATAAGTACCTTCTAGTTTAATGGCTGGCATTAGGTAAAATTGGAACTGAGTCAGCTATAAGAAGTGTATATAATCTGATCACGTCTAAAGGGAGGGTCATGTTATCATTCTGAAGTTTCAAGGTTATTAGAATAAGAGGAGGATTTGGGTGAAATTTTCTTCTGGCCAGGGAGGGAGTGCTGTCCATTAGCATAATAGAGAACAAACTTTCAGCCCTGCTTTGACTGTTCCATTTTAAGAACAGTAAACAGTGAAGGATTAAAAAATAGGTAGAGAATTTAAATTAGCTAATGAGAATTTCAAAGAACAGAACAGCAGAAGCCCATATTATAAGCGAGCAAGTGGTAAAACAGATACAATTCGATATATGACACCTTAACTATTTCATTCATTACTCATTTTCTACCTTCTTTCTGTCTCTGCCTTTTTCCCTGTTTTGTTTATATATGTTCCTACTATACCTAATCTCTTTCTTCATCATTCCCACTGCTTTCTTCATGTCCCTCATCCAGCCCAGATCTTATTAGCACAGGAATGGCTACCATAACGATATGGAACTAAAGTATGTATGTATTTTTTATTTATTGTATTTGTTTTATTTATCTTACTAATTTCTAGCCTCATTATTGCACTTAAATATCTCACCTTTACCTGTAACTCAACATATCTAAAATTGAATTAATCTTCTGTAAAACCAACTTGAATTTCCCAAGATTCCTGTCTTTGACAATAGTACCACTATTTATTAGTCACCTACATTTGAGTCTTTTAGGGCATCTTCGACTACTTAATTTTCCTATATCCTGTCCATCAATAAATCTTATCAAGTCTTATTAGAACTTTTTTTTTCCTTTCTAGACCCTTCTATTACATTTCCACTACCATCATTTCACACTTCAGTGCTGTAACAACCCTTTGGAAGGTTTTGCATATACATCATTGTTATTCTCTCACTTGGAAGGTTTTGCATATACGTCATTGTTATTCTCTCACTCCTTAGTAGCAAGATTTCAACTCTGGATCAGTTCCACAGTCCACCTTTTCTACTTTTACATTCAGGATACTGAGTGATGTTATGGAAAATTATGTAAAGCTAGAGATTGGGTACCTCAACAGAGTCTTGGAATCTAATTTCTGGGGATTTGTAATCCTACTTAATCCTTTACCTTTTCCTTCGCTTTCCTCTCAGAATGATTTCAAAACCTACACCACTCTCCAAGACTCTCTTCCATTCTTCTACACTTCCCCTTCTCACACCCTTCAGGTAAACTTATCTCCCATATTCAATAAGTCACCAAGTTTTGCCAGGTTTTTTTTTTTTTTAGTTTTGCCAGTTTTAATGGTATATTTCACCAATCTTCCTGCTCTTCTCTATCCCTATTGTGTTCTAGCCCATGCCCTCCTTATCTCTTGCCCGGTCTAGTTATTTACATGCATGTAGTCTCCTTACTTTGAAATTTGTTCTTGTCAAATTTATCCTCTATATTGCAGCTAGAGGAGAGATTTCTCTAAAACATAGCTGACCATGTTACTTACTACTTAAAGCATTTCAAGGTTTCCCACTACACAGGATAAAAGTCTAGGCTCCTTAGCATAACATATATATCTCTCTGATCTAACACCCTATTGCCTCTCCCATCTTGTCCTGTTATATTTTATTCTACAACAATTCCAAGTTTTAAGTTCTTATAAACACTAATACGCTTCTATCATGCTAGTCCCTCTATGTTCAATAGTCTTCTCAACTGTTTTCATCAAGTTAACTATTTTTCATCCTTCCAAGTTTAACTAAGGCATCATCTCTTCCATTAGCCTTCTTCAGATCCCCATACTGTGCTAAGTGTCTCTGCTTTCTTTGAGCTTCTAATACCCCTTAAGCATACCTCTTTTACCAAGTGAGACTGAAATTCTTTGTTTATATATCTGTTTCTCACTTGGATTTGTGAGCAACCTGCCCATTTTATTGATCTTGTACCCCTAGAATCTAGCATGATGCTTGGTGCCACATAGGTGCTTAGTGTTTATTGAACAGATTATTTGAAGCCAGTACATCATGCTTATTTCTGTCTCTGCCATATCTGATACTGTTTTCATCCCCTGGAATGCCCTTATCTGCCTTCCTTATAATTCAAATCCTTTCTTGTCTTCCAAGACCCATCATAACTTCCTTACTGCTTTGGCTACTGGTATTCTCCCCCTCCTCTGATTTCTCATAGACTTCACTGTTCGTTGCCAATTGCATTAATTATAGCCCCTTAACTGAATTAGCCTTCTTGAGACAATGGATTATATTTTATTCTGCAATATCCATCTCAGGACTTTATATGGTAATAAGTACATAGTTTTTCTCAATATTTGCTAATTGTTTATTGAGAGGCAGTGTCATGTAGAAGGATAAATATATATTGATAGATATGTTTGAAGTCACTTAACCAGTTGTATCTCAGATTCCTCAGGTGTAAAGTGAAAATAAGGCTACTTCACAGGATTGTCAAAGGATGAAGTTGAAGCGGTATATGCAGTACCCATCACAGAATAGGTCCTTAACAAATGTTACTTTTTTTGAAATGTTTGTTCGCCTGTCATACCTTTAAAACAGGTAAATTAGACTTTTTCTGTTTTTTTTTCAAAAAGTAAATCTCACACTAAGTTGCGTATTTGCTTATATGTAGCTCTCGATTGTTTTCTATTTAAACTATTAGACCAGTGGTTCTCACCTTGACTACATGTTAGCATCATGCAGGAAGCTTTTAGAAATCTCAACGCTCAGGCCATCCCTCAAATCAATTAAATTAGAATCCCTAGGACCTACACATTAGTGTTTTGTTTCCTGTTTTTTAACTCTCCAATTGATTAGAATATAGAGATAGGATTGAGAACCACAACGTTAGACTATAAAGACATGCATTTCCCTAATCTGTGCTTTGAAAACAAAGATCTTAGTCTGGGGAGTTATAAGATAGAGCTGTGATTAGGAGAAAAATGGGCATCACAAGTGTTAGGTTATGGAAGATTCTGAAAGGTACAAGATGCAAAGAAGCTTGAGTTTCTGGAGTAAGTCAAAAACAAGGAATATTAGCAGAGCTGAGGGCAACAAAGTTAGAGAAGACCGAGGAACAGACTAAGATGGGAGAATAGAAAGTGTAAGAAACATAGTGGATAAAAGAAATTTAGAGTGTACTTATCTTGGTGAGCACTAAGTAATGTATAAAATTACTGAATCATTCTGCTGGTATACCTGAAACTAGTATAACATTATATATTAATTATATTTCAATTAAAAAAGGAAAAGAGGGTGATGGGCACTGAGGGGGCACTTGACGGGATGAGCACTGTGTGTTATGCTATATGTTGGCATATTGAACTCCAATAAAAATATATAGAAAAAATAAATAAGGAAAAGAAAAACATAGTGGAGGCATGTTACAGAAGGATTAGACCAGGAATTCTGATCTTGGAGCCAATAAATAGGCTTCATATCTTCACAGAAAGTGTTTATACCATTTATATATATATTATTTCCTGATATGTCTATATCTAGAAAAAGATAGAAAATATCAGTGTATGAAAAAGACAAGGGCTAAAGTAATAGTAATCAGACCACAGTTCCAGAACTGCCTCTCGAATTTTTATATGTGACCTGCAGTTTCTCTAGGCCCCTCTATTACCTATATTATAATCTTTTTTTAAGATTTTGTTTTTTTATTCATGAGATACACAGAGAGAGAGGCAGAGACAGGCAGAGGGAGAAGCAGGCTCCATGCAGGGAGCCCAATGCGGGACTTGATGCTGGGACTCCGGGATCATGCCCTGAGCCAAAGGCAGATGCTCAATCCCTGCCCAGGCTTCCCAATATTATTTATAATCTTCTGATCCAATTTGTGAAGAAACAAAGGAGGAACTGAGGAGAACATTATGTATACTATATACTGTATAAGTACTAAACAAATATGCAAAACCTCAAATATAATCTGAGTTTATAATCATAATGAAGATCATTAGCTCAATATTAGTGGTGCTCAACAATGGCTGTATAGAAAAATCATCTAAAAACACTTTCAGAAAGTAAGAAAGCCTGGTTCCACTCCTGGAGATTCTGATTTAAATGCCCCAATGTGGAACTGTAACATGAATATTTTTAAAGTTTTCCACATGGTTCTAATATGTAGCTAGCATTGAGAACCATGAAGCTAGAAGAAACCAGGATTCCTGCTTATCTTACATAACTTGAGTGCTCTCAAAATGCCTTGTGTTGGCCAAGTGAATCTAAGCCTTAATTTTCACACTTGTTAAATAAGGACATTAATAATTTTATAAAAGGTTTGTCATGAGCATGCATAGTCCTAGATTTAGTCCTTTGCTTTGTAGGAAGTCCAGAATCTTCGGGGTAGATCAGCCTCAAATCAGGGACTTGATCAGATCATAAACAAACTTGGCAAACACTGATAAATAATCAAAGAACTAGAAAGGTATTCCATTAGTGTATTTCCTGCACATTCTCTAATAATAATTACCTGGGGTATTGTTAAAATACAAATTCCCTCTCCCACAGATATCATATCATGTTCTCCAGGGAAGGGGCTTAGGTATCTATATTTATATAATACTCTAATTCTTATCAGAGAAGTCTGGGAAACATTTTGATTTAAATTAATACATTGTCATTCTAGTATTGATTTATGGTAGGAGGAGTATATTTTTTCAGTTCCCAGGGTTTTTAAAATTTGAATCTATCATCCAGGGTATCCCTTTTTTGGTATCAAAGAATACAGGAAACAAATTATAATCAAAAAATAACTTGGTGAACATGAAATCAGAGCACTGCGAGAGAGGATAATTATAAGGAATCATTCATTCAGTCTTTGGCGTAACCTGATGAGCTCTCCTGGTTCACTAGAGTATATGTCGGTAATAAGCAGAATCCTCGTGTTTTTCCAAGTTAGCATCTTTCTTTCTCCTTGATAATATTCTCCTGTTTCTGTGAATAATCTTTGCTTGGACAAGGCTAGTACACTTGATAATGATTAGTTTAGCATCCTTTGAATGATTAAGTTGCTGTTTGTTTTAAAACATGACCTCACTTGACCCTAAAATTACTGCAGCCACCAATTTATTTCCTCTTCTTTAGAGTAGGATTATTTTATATTTAGCTTATAAAATTTATTATTTGCTACTTCTGACCAAAGAGAAAGTGGAAGGATGATGAGGTTAAGAAAATAAAGATTAATTTATCCCCTTTCAATTCTACCTAAGAAGCAGAATAGAGAGGTAGATAGTATACCTATTCTATAGTTCTTAACTCTTTGGAAGTGGTAACTAGTAGTTTTGCTTTAGAATTTTGCTTTCAGCTTTTATCCTGAGAGTGGGGCTCACTGAACCTCTCTCCTTTCTAAAATCTGTCTGTGGAAATTACTTTTGGTAAACTAATGCACTACAGTGATTTCAGGTAAGAGAGTAAAAATTTGTTTTTGTTTAACCTTTTGGGACATTTCAGGTTTTTGTTGGGTTGAAAGAGAATTAGGAGCAAGCAAAAAAGTTGGTTAAGGGATTAAGAAGCAAAGGTTGGTTGGGCGTACTAAATTTGAAGTGCTTGCTGCGTTTCCATGTATTGACAATAGGCAAGGAGATAGCAGTTGCCTAGGAAAGAGGCCAAGGTTAGAGAAACAGTGTGGTGAAATGTAAAGAATTCTGGGCTTTAAATCAAGAAGCATGGGCTTTGAGAGGTTATCTCTATTACTGATTGGCTCTCTGACTTTGACCAAGTTATTTGACATCTCTGGGTCTCATCTTTAAATTGGGAAAGTTCAGTAGATGATTTCTAGTAAATTCCTGTCCAGCTTTGGATTTTAAGTGTATCCATATTGACCTTCTTAACTTGGACTCTCTGTTTTTTCAGCATTTAGTATGAGAACCTACATTTGCCATATTTGTAATATCACCTTTACATCTTTAGAAATGTTCCGGTCCCATATGCAAGGAAGTGAACACCAAATTAAGTAAGTATCTTTTACCAAAATGCTCCTGTAACACCAAAGAGCAGGGCTTCTGTCAAGTAACCTTGCATATATTTTACAAACTTTCTAGGCTTTCATTTCCCTATGAGTTGATACTGCTACAGTTGATGGTATTTGTCACATAGTACATGCTACTGGAATCCCCTAGGGAAGTTCTCTAGCAATGATAGTATGCTGGCAGAGCTAGATAATTGGCACCCCTCCTGACCAGACAGCATTGTCCTTCTCTGGGGAGATGCTAGAGAATCATTCTCTTGAGCCATACAAACTCAAATAATTCCTGGAAGGTTACTTAGTTCCAGGAAATACAGTGATTTGGTCATCATCCTCCCAGTGAAGTACAGTGGTTAAGAACAAAGGTCTTGCTGTTAGATCTAGATTGGAATATCGGATTTCTCTTTCTAACAAGTGTATAACTTTGGACAGCTCTAATATGAAATGGTTAAAATGAAATATTAAAAATATGTGTACGGTGCCTAGCCTGGCACATAATAGAAGCTCAATAAATAATTCTTCCATTTTATTCTGTTGTTTTATGGAGGAGAGGATTAGGTGGACAATTAGTGACTGATAAGTCAGGTAGCAGGATAGAGGGGCATCTAGCTATTGTATTTTTGATTTGTTGCTTTAAAAATCAAAGCATAGTGTTTTCTGTTAATATTATATTTATTCTGTTATATGTTACTCAAAGTAGAAATACAAAATACTTAGGAGGTAAATTGTCCAATTAACAAAATTAACCTTCATTTAGACTCTTCTTTTAAATCTTAGGGTTCCAGAAATCAATAGCCATTATATATTGAGATCTCTATGTGGAACTAATTTAAACTTTTAAAATAATGGGGCATTCCGATCAGACCATCTTCAGGGCACTAAATATTATTGGTCCTTTCCCACTATCCCCTCATGCCTTACATTTTAAGTACTAAGACTATGTAGCAGCTATGTCTGCACCTTTGTACCCATCTTCCCTTTTATCTCAGCCCTGAAAATCTTTGCGTGTATAAAAAATTGTGAGGTACATGGGAGATATCTGACAATCCCTCCTACTTTGTTTTGGCATAAAAAGTGATGATTTATAGCTTTTGTATTGTAGTAGGCTTTTAAAATTGGTTTGGGCTTTTGTTGTTTGTGTTTCTCTAGACTCATCTTTTTGAAAGCAAAGAAAATATTCAGAATAAAATAACCTATTAAGTAACTTTCTGCTGTCTTCTTTGCAGAGAATCCATTGTTATCAATTTAGTGAAGAATTCAAAGAAGACACAAGACTCTTACCAAGATGAATATGCAGATTATATCAAAGTGCAGAAAGCCAGAGGACCAGAGTCCAAGATTTGTTTCAGAAAGATGGAAGAGGGTTCTTTGGAAACCCGTGGGTACAGGGAAGTACTTGATTCCAGATCCAGACATAGAATGTTTAAACAAAGACTCCCATGTGAGACTTTCCGAACATACCCAGGATCATATATTTCACAAACAGCAGAAAACCAGTTACCTCATTGCTTACCAGCTCATTCAAAGAAGACCTATGACTCTTTCCAAGATGAATTGGAAGATTATATCAAAGTGCAGAAAGCCAGAGGACTAGATCCAAAGATTTGTTTCAGAAAGGTAAGAGAGAATTCTATGGAAACCCGTGGGTACAGAGAAAGTGATTCTGGACACAAACAAAGAATGTTTGAGCAGAGATTTTCACTTGAGACTTCCCAGACCTACCAACAACCATATAATATTTCACCAGTGGAAAGCCAGTTACATCACTGGTTACCAGCTCATTCAAAGAGGACTTATGATTCTTTCCAAGATGAACTTGAAGATTACATCAAAGTGCAGAAAGCCAGAGGACTAGAGCCAAAGACTTGTTTTAGAAAGATTAGTGATAGCTCTATGGAAACCCATAAGTACAAAGAAATGGTTGATTCCAGACCCAAACATAGAATGCTTGAGCAAAAACTCTCATTTGAGACTTCCCAGACCTATACAGGATCATACAGTATTTCACAAGCAGTGGAAAACCAGTTACCTCATTGCTTACCAGCTCATGACAGCAAACAGAGACTAGACTCTATGACCTCTTGTCAACCCATCAGAGACTATTTCCCAGAAAAACCAGTACCCCTGAGCCTTAGTCAACAAGAAAATAACTCTGGCCCATACAGTGTAGAATCTGAAGTTTACAAACACCTTTCCTCAGAAAACAGTACCGGTGACCATCAAGCAAGTCATAAACGGAGACATCAAAAGAGAAGAAGGCACCTGGAGAAAGGTGAAGAAAGGCCAGAGAAAGAGCAGTCCAAGCATAAAAGGAAAAAGAGTTATGGAGATACTGATCTAGAGAAGGAAGAGAGCATCCGACAAAGGAAAAGAGAGGGAGATAAAGTCAGTGTCAGCTCAGGAAAGCTTAAACATCGAAAAAAGAAAAAAAGCCATGGTGTGCCCACTGAGAAAGAAGAACGTAAACACAAGAAAGAGAAAAAGAAATCTGTTGAAGAAAAGACTGAAGAGGAAATGCTTTGGGATGAATCTATTCTTGGATTTTGAACTTTTAGTTTTGTTTACCTAAGGATGAATTGAAGAAATAAGTTAATATGGATTTAGACAAACAGGAACATCTAGTGAAGAAAAGAAACAGTGCATACAGTATCAGTTCAGAAAAGCTTAGTTTTTGTGTGTATAAATTGAAATTGAATGGAAAGAAGAAACAAACAAGCTTAAACCTACCCTCTGAGAAAGAGCATAAGAAAAACATAAAAACATAAGAGAAAAGGAAACCTATTGAAGAAAATATGAGAGTCAGTGTTTTGGGATAAGTCTGTTCTAGGAATTTGAACATTTCATTTTGATTACCTGAGGATGAATTGAGGAAATCAATTTAGAAAATGGATTTAGACAAAAAACAAGAACATCCAATGAAGAAGAGAAGAGGTGAATATGGACATTGTCAATTTAGGAAAGTTTAGTTTTGAGGGTATAAAAATTGAAATTGAATTGAAAGAAGAAACAAGTGTAAACCTAGTCTCTGAGAAAGAAGAGCATAAGAATAGAAAAGAAAATGAAACCTATTGAAGAAAGATAATGCTTTGGGATGAGTCTACTCTTGGATTTTGAATTTTTTAGTTTTGTTACCTTAAGGTTGAATTGAAGAAATAAGTTTGAAGAGTTTGGTTTCATGAAATTGTTGTTATTTGAATTTTCCTAAATGAAGAGTTAACTTTAACCTCTAACAAAAGCCAAGTGAAGTAAAAGTATTCAATATGCCTTTTCCTCAAGCTACTTTTCCTCATTTTCTTAAAAAAAAAGCAAAGCAAAATTACGTTTCTTACATATAATGTAATTTTACTTAATGAGGTTGTCTTTACTTCTATTCATCAAATGGCTGTGGTGGTGAATTATTCACCCATGGGAGATAATTTATTTTAAATGAGAGAATTACCAGGCATTACAGAATCCATTCCTTGTTTGGGTTTTTGTTGGTGTTGTTGGTATTTTGTTGTTGTTGTGTTTATTTGTTTCTTGGTTTTCTCCAAGAAAAATTTATGAAGAAATTTAGACTGATTTTTTTGTTTGTTAAATCTAATTTGCAGTGTATTTTTGTATTTTCTAGTTCTGAAAGTGAAAATGAAATAGTCTATGATAAGTTTAGACGATATATAGTTTTAAAAAGCTTTCAAAAAGTACTGGTACAAAATCAGTCTATATTCTGGAAATGTTTATATTATATTAAAGTGTTTTAATTTCTACATATTGTTTTGTGTAAACAGTCATTTCCCAGCCAAAGATGATTTTATTTTAGGAGTGAGAGGGGAAATAATTAAATAGTTTGCATTGCACTTCTTGGGAGATCACAATGTCAGGTTGTAATAATTTCATTTATTCTACATTGGCTTAGTAGAAGCTGATATTCAGACTTGAGTTCAGTTTTAAGTTAAAAAATTTGGCCAACTAAGTAACTTGAAACTGAAGAAGGAAGAATTGTCTAAGTGGGAGAGGACTATGAGGGTACATTACCTTTAAATTGTTTCATCTTGATTATTTTTTTTATGCTGGTGCTCCATTTTTATGATTAGCATCTCCTGCAAGTATTTGAACATCACCATGGCATAGTAGAAAGAGTAATCCTCAGAATCGGAATCCCAGGATTCTGGTTTCAATTGTACCATCAAGTTGCCATGTGACCTTGTGGGAATATTATCAGAATCCAACATGTAGTCATAGGAGAAATATGCTATACTATTCCCTTGATGTGTTAATCTTATCAAAAAGTAAATAAATTTAGATGGCAATGTATCTGCACATAGGCAAGACATTTAATAGTGTTTTTTCCTTGAGATTTTACTAAAATGGTAAATATGAGCTGAAGCATAATATGATTGATTGGGTCTATACCAGGTTTAACAAACAGTCTGAAAGGGTGTTAGATAGTTCCCAAATTAACTTATCTTCCACAACACTTGATACAAAATTTTTTGGTGCTACAATACGACTTTTCTTTTTAACACAGCTGGTATGCTGGTGAAAGAGGGAAAAGAAGAACTGGAGTGGAGCAAATAGACTGTGAATTAGCCACAGAATGGCAAAATCCCTTTTCTGAACTTGGCAAAAAAAAATGCAGCTTTTTTTCACAGAACGTGTGAGACAATATTGAATTGAAAGCATTTTTAATTGATAAATTATTTTGCAAAAGTCCATTTTGTGTTGAAAGGTGGAAGGCAGGAATTCAAAACTACATATCAGAATATTCACTAAGACACCAAATTGCTATGATCTTTTCCAGGTAACTTAAATAGATTAATAATGTATTAAAATTAGCACACAATTTCATCAACATTGTGTAAATCAGACAAAATTTTAACATTAAAATCATTTAAATTAGGTGGAGTGGCAAGTTGGGGGAGGGATAAGGGAATAGTGTCGACTACATTCTTGGAGAAGTTACCAGTGACTTGCTTTAGAAAGTGGTTTTGAAAAATTTTAGGACAAAAACTGTTTTGACAAAAATAAAAACTCTATCATAAAATTAATTTTCTATTAACTAAAAAGTATTTTCTGGTTGAAGCTGGGGACAAGGACTTGGAATTGGCTCATTTGCTCTGCTCTCAACTTCTGCCTCTGAGCACTAGGAGGTTACAGTATAAGGCAAGATATTTAAATATCTTAAATTATCTTAATTAAATTAAGATAATTAATTAAATTATCTCTATTTTTGGAGTTGGGGCTGAATTTGGTAAGATGACATTTAATATTATAAATATTAAATCCTGCATTTGGCTGTAGGAGACAATACAAAATAATTTTGAGAAGACATAGTTTAGGATACTGCATGTGAAAACAACATTGAGCTTTTTATTACATGCTTAATTTGAAAGACTTAATATGCTCATCTAGACATAAGATCAAATATGATCTAAAACAAATAGTATTCAGACAAGTAAATGAATAGCACCTAGCATCATAAGTATGTCCTCAATAGTAGATGGGCAAATTTTTGCTGAATTTGGAAAATCATTTTCAATAATTGCAACTATAGGGAAAAAAATGGAATTGACTGTCTTGTTATATGCATGCCTTAAACAAATAGTAACACCTGACTGTAAGCATTGTGCCAGGAAGGAAACAGAAAAAAAATGAAGAGCATAGATTCTATTCTACAAACAGCTCACAGTCTAACAGAGTAAATGGGCCAATAAATAGGAAATTGCAATATAAATTTGATAAAGGCTACAATAGAAGTGCTGAAGGATGCTGTGGTTAGAAGGGTTAACAAGCTTAATGGAATGGGAAGTGGGCATTCAAGAAAGGCTTCCCAAAGAAAGTGACATCTAAGCAGACCTTTCCTTTCAGTTCAAAGATATTTTTTTTGATATATCCACTTGGCTATCTGATAGATACTTCAAACTTAATATAGCTACGTAGAGTTCCTGCTTCTGCCATTACCAACCACTCACCTCCCAGTTTCCCCCATTTCTGCAAAACCGTCCAATTGCTCAAGCCAAGAACTGTTTTTGAGAACCTCTTCACTTTTACTGTCCATAAGCAATTCTCCTTGATCATATCACTAAAATACCTTTCTTAATGTTCACTTCTCTTCATCCTCATTGCCACCACTCTAGTCAGAGATATCATTTCTTGATCCAACTGGAAAAACAGGTTTGAGAGCAACTGAAACATTCAAGGAAGCCATCAGAGGTTCTGAATTATAAGTGAGTGGAAAAAAAGTACACAGAATCAGCAAGAGATCAGAGTTCTGTGGTGACCTAGGCCTTTGAGGATTTCAGAACTATCCTGCATAGTGTTCCCTCCAGAAAAAACAACATACAAAGAGAAAGCTGCTAGTTTCAGAAATCAAATTGAATAGGACAGAGACACTATGGGGAAGGGGAAGGGGAAGTTCAGATTGTAGTGGATAGCAGAAGAATCCAGAGAAAGCAGATCCCAGGAGGTATTATGACAGCAAAATAAACTTACAAAGGTAAGAGTAGCACTTTGGAAGGCCAGACCTAGTAGATTGTGAACACAACAGAAAAATGCAGACACAAAGTAAATGAAAACTAACCTAACCCAGTATTTTTAAATGAGCTGAAAGAAAACATTTAAGAGATTTGATACACAGCATAAACTCAGAGAACCCAGAAATAACAGGTGTAAAACAAAAGCTGGCAGAGGTAACTAAATAAATATAAAAAACAATTAGTGAAGATTAACCTGCACGGAATACAAGAGAGAAGAGACACTATGTTAAAGATAGGGAAATAATAGAAAAAAGGAAAATAAAGACAAATTTTTAAAAATTATATAGATTGATAGAACAAATAAAAGACAGTGGGACATAAGTTTGTTGTAATGGATACTGTTTTGGTGCTGCCCAGAACCACTCCTAACCCCTGCCCAAATATTTCAGGACAAAGGCACTCAATTTCCCAACTTTTGGGGACTGGCCTTGTCTGAAGGGAACTGTGTCTTGTAAGATCATGCCTTCTGGGGGCAATCTGCGATCCATTAGTGGGATAATGTAGGCATATACAAAGGCCAAGGTCTCCTGTTTCAATTTTGGGAACCTCTAAAAGGCCATTTTAGTTTGAGTTCCCATGGGGTCAGCTGAGACCTTTATCGTAACTATACCACAATTCAAGTTCTCTGCTAATCCAGCTTCCCTTATTACCTCACAGTATTCTTTTGAACATCCCCCTATAAACTACCTACAAACAAATTTCCATCTCATCATTACTTTCCCCCAGAACCTTACCCAAGACAGGTAGTATCAGGAATAGTCCTAGGAAACAGACTACAAAAATGGGATTTGGGGAGCAGGGAGTGAGGATCCTATCATTCACTGGTAATTTGGAAAATACTGGTAGTAGGTAGTCCATGGTGTGCTATAGGAGTACAATTGTTTAAATTTTCACCAATGATACTAGTGAAAAGGAATGTACGTGAAAATATATCTCTAGCAGTTGAGAGGGTTGGGGAAAATAGCAATTAGAATCTGATGACTCTGAGTGCCATTCACATACTGGAGAGGGAAAATGAATGGTTTAGAGAATTAATTACCAATTTAAAGCAAAATATGAAAATCAGAAGGCATCTTTGGTAGCATATAAAAGAACTTCTGGCTCTATCTTGAAATCTCATCTCTCATGAGCCCCCTATCTTGAAAGGGTGAACCAATTCTAGGATTGCCAGAAAACATACAGAATGCCCGGTAAAATTTGATTTTCAGAAAAAGAGCTATTTTTAATATAAATATGTCCAGTGCAATATTTGGGAAACAATTACACTAAAACAAAATTTAATTGTTTACCTGAACTTCAAATTTAACTGAATTTCTTGTATTTATTTTTTTGTTACATCTGGCAACCCAACACATCTCTCCCAACCAGTGGTTAACATTCCCATCTTACTTGAAGATATTTAGCCCTTTGCCTTACCAAACATGTCCCCTCTCCCAGCATCTATGCACATGACTCCTGCTGGCCACCAGACCAATAACTATAAAAAAAATCACAACTTAACCTGGCTTAAGAAACATTGGTCTGATCAAGGTAAAAATGGTCTATGTGCACTCTAGAGGAAGGAAAGTACTAGGAGGAGGCCTGGTGGGAGCTCAGAGGCCAGAAAATTTGTGGCCAGAATATAAGAGGGTTAGGTGTTTCCAGGAAAAGCCCCATAATACAGGGAGGTTAGAGATAAAAACAGCCCACTTGGGGGTATATAAGAGAGAATATGCACAGGAAGAGTAGGGCAGACCTGAAATCCTTTGACACAGAGTGTTATCTTTTCCTGTAAGTAGCAGATGTCATTGAGGATTTCTAAGCAGAAAATGAGAGGGAGTTGGACTGGGTGGTCTTAAATGAGTCTAATGTGTTAATTTAAAAAGTATGTCAGTGTGAAATTGGTAGGTTGGACAGGGGAGGAGACAGACACAGAATCTTTATGGTAAGCCAAATGTAATATCGGACTTGGGTGAGGTGAGAAAAAACTGGGAGTAAGAGACAAAGAAAGACTTGAATTTCTCTTATAAAAACTCTGAAAGACTAGGGCTGGGTCCTAAATGAGAGAAAAGCAAAACTTTGTTTCAGACAGGCTGATTTCACAATGACTGATACCAAGAAAGTCAATCTAACATCATGATGCCATGAAAGTAAAGAGCCTTCAGACTGAAAGTAGCCTAATAATAT